CGTGTGTGTGTGTGTGTGTGTGTGTGTGTGTGTGTGTGTGTGTGTGTGTGTGTGTGTGTGTGTATGCATATGCATTTATTTACACTAGTAAAATAGTGATATAATTAAGATTTATATATTTTTATTTCTACTAATCAACTATATAAATTTTTTACCCTAAGATAGGTATTATCGTTGTATTTTTTTGAGGTGCAACATTAAATGAATTTAAACTATCAATATTTCAAAATAAAATATATTTATATTAAAAAGGAGTAATAAAGAAATAATTAAAAATTTCTTTAAAAAATTTTTCTATATATATTTATTGCCCATAATTTTTATTTCTGTATTAAATTTGTTAGGGGTTTTATCTCTCATTCATTTCGTTTTTTCACGCAAAAGGTAAGAGCTATTAGCTATATAACGTCATGCTACATACGCACACACCAACAGTTAGAAGATACATAATTATCATACAAGTATTATTCCAATACTTGCAAAATCGAATCTCCCATTCTAAGCTCCGCCTCATCTCTCACAATTATTCGTCATTATACTTTAAGCCCGTCCGGCTGACTGGCCGGCCGAGTTTCCGCGTGTGATTTGACTCGACGCGCGTCCCTAAGCGAAGCGAACGTGTGCACATCATCAATAACGCCACGATGATTCCAGACGCTTGAATTATTGACGAACGATGAATGGAACGGATCACGGTGGATCATGAATTCAATGCCGTATTTTGATAACGGCGGCTGTGGAAGTCACACCAATTTGGAATTGAATTTTAATATCGATATTCAATGTCTACCGCATATAGACTTACTTAAAAATATAATGTCTATCGTATATAGATTTACTTAAAAATATAGAATATCATCGTTGCATATAATCAACTTTTAATTCATAACCATGTCATAAATTGGAACAGTATTAAATATATTTTAATAATAAATAATCGTATTTTTTTTTAGTATCTACATAATATGTACATTTTTAGCGTACAATATTTCCTTTAGTACGTAAATTAATTATAATTTATTAAAGAAACTTCATGCTATTAATCAAGGCTAATTTCAGCGGAGGAAAACATTTGAGAAAATATTGATGACACCGGTTTGCTCCCCGTAGAGACGTAATGCATAAATACTTCCACGTATGAGCTCATGTACCTTGATTCGCAATAAATCATTTCGGAGAGATGAATCCTTCGCATTAATCTGCACACGACTAGCTATAGCATAATTAACGTTCATTCATGCCGTCGTCTCTACGGTAATACGATGATTCGCGGTAAAGTGAGATCACGCAATGTCCTGCGAGATTTTTCTAATCGCCGCCGGTTTCCACGTGCGTCTAATTGTTGCGCCAGTGTTAATGCGATGAGTCAAATGTTGTGTATTGAGAATCATATATATTCCTTGTGGTGTGTTAACAAAGCGCGCCAGAAATAATGAAAATATTATATTATATTATTATATCTACATATTTTTTTATAACCTTTGAATATGCCGTAAAGTAGCTCAAAATAAGAGAGACTTTGAGTTATCTTAAAAAGCTATTTCGACATATTTGCTTATAAGAATATTTTGCTTATAAGAAATTTAAATATAAGATTATGAAATACTTTTAGCTCCATAAAATCTTTTTATTTAAGACATTTCTTATGTGACTTACGATTATTTTTAAATATATTCTCTCAAAGTGCAATATGTAAAAATAAACTTCAAGAGAGACTATTATAGTTTTTAAATTTAAGAAATATTAAATATTTAAATAAAAAAAATAAATATACATTTTGAAGCAGACTTTATAGCAGACTTTAAGTAAATTAAAATCCTAATTATAATGGATTGGGATTCATTCCTACAATGCGCACTTTCTCGTGAAACGCTTTCGTTTACAGAGGAACTTTCGGCCGGTGTAAACACTACCGGAAACTTATCGCGCGTCTCGGCACGTCTAAAAGCGCGTTGCATCGTCTTCCGGTTCGCGCCGCTCTCGTTCGTTCATTCATATGAATTAACGGGCCCTCGTAAATTGTACGCGACGAGCGGCGCGGCGCGTCCGCCGCAATTAAGCGCGATTGTGCCGCCCAGTGAGTTGTTCATTCGTCATCGCGAGCGCAATGAATTCGTGTCATGCCAGAAGATGTCGGCCGGATTAGGCCGCGGGCCGAATTGAGAGAATGACCGAACGCGTGCGCGACTCCGTCGTTGTCTACCGCGCGACAAATTGATATTAACCAAGGAATTACACGCCGCCGCCTAGCCGCTCGTCTCGCCGTCTCGGAACTTTTTCTAGACCGGACCGTAAATTGAAGTTTGTCATGCGGTGACTGCGCTAAGATTTCTAATTTGTGTGTAGCACGTTTGGAAAAATTTTATAATTCTTTGTCGCCGCAGAAAGATAGGATAGATAAATGTACAGCAGTGTGCACTATACCATACTATTAACTATATATTGTTACCTTTCTTTAATGAATTTTATGAATTTGATGACTTTATTTTCATTGACATTAAATTAGTATAATTAACGTAATTTCTTATTATTAGAAAAAGAATAATAAAATATAATAAAATCTTGTTTTTCAATTAATTTTAATTTTAATTTACATATGTAATAAAGTTTTAATTTAAAATTATAAATTAAAACGCTTATAAAAATTATAACATGTAAAATGATCGTGTATTAAGATTTTATTAATAAAACTTATTTTATGTTTTAAAAGCAGTTCTCTTGGATATTTACAGCAAAGAGGAAACCAATGCAAGATAAGAATAGAATAAAATGTGTTTACAAAGTTGAAGTTGATTGATGATTACATTATGTCATATAACAACATTCTGTGATAAATATCTTAATAATTGTAAAAATATTGTATTGATGATAGATTTGTAACAAGTTATTAAGAGTGTTTGCGTTTTTCTTGTTTTTCACGCCGATCGGTTTACAAGCGTAAATACGAAAATAGCAGATTCGCATCTAATAATAACTTTTCAACGTATCCATTGTCACAAATAACAGATAATAGAATTTATCTGACATTTCTATTATAAATTTTAATTTAAATTATAATTATTTATTTTTATATATTTAATATATTATTTTTTAAATATTTTTTAAATATTTTCTATATATTTCAGTTCTGTCTAATAATTTCAAGTTAAAGAAATTGAAGGTAAAATATATGATTTTGGAAAAATTATAACATCGCAACGTAATTTTTAAATTAAGAATCGTATTTAAATGTCGTAATTACAATATAATAATCATGAGAAGAACTTTCTCCTAAAGTGTTTTAATTTGTTTGTTTGTTGATTGAGATGAATTGGATTTATATGCAGTTATATTTTGTGTGTCTGTGTGTATTGTGTTACTTAACATACTTAAATTATTTATGTACATTTTGGTTAAAATTAGGATTAATTAACTATGTATATGTATATTATGTAATGTTATATATTAATTGCAAACTTCTTATAATTCTTAGTGTTCTCTCATTAGCAAATAAAAAACCAACTTTTTTCGTATATCAATAATGACCATTAAAATTTGCTTAAATGTAGACTTGATACAAATTTATAATTAATAAAAGATGCATTTCGCGATCTAAATAATTACTTTAGCTATATTATTGTAATCGTTTGAATTAAACTAAATTGATACTCACGAATATCGAATTATAGATTTTGTCGTAGAAAACGATGGGTGTTTTGAGAATAGCCTGAGCGGATATCAGCATTCCGTTGTTATCGGTCTCGAGGACATGGGAACCCGGTCCCGTGTACTGATACAGATCCCTTTTGGACAGGGCTGCGGTGAAGGGCACGATTAGGGCCAGCGCGAGGACCAGCGGGCCCAGCAGGACGCTCCAGCGTGCTGCGCCGCGAGCCATTCTCTCAGACTGCCTTAACGCTACTGCTGTTCGACTGGGCCACGACGTCTCTTCTTGTTGTCCCCTAATCGCCTTTGCCCGCCGCTGCTCCGCGGCCGACGTGGCCGCCCGCCGTTGTTCCGAGTATATGAAACGCCACGCTTGCTTCCCGCACTCACTGATAATTTCGTGATACCGCACCGATCCCTACCCCCTGATTCTACTACTAATAGGATAATGTGCAATCGAGTGTATCTCGAATGTAATTCTTCAGCTTGTCTCTCTCTCACTCTGTACCTACAAACTACCCGCATCGCACGATGATCACTTGATGCCGTGATGTGCAGGTTCCTGCCATGAATAAATATACAGCGCATCGGAATAAACTCTATCTTTCCATACTCTTACGTGAAATGTATCAAATGGTTTAATTTATATTATAATGAAGGATTTTTGGAAAAAAAATTAATGTTGAATAAATATAATGTGTGCAATTATATAAAATGCAGCCCTGTCTTATGCAGAGTGTGAAAATTATATTGCGATTATATATATATATATATTGCAAATTATTTAAATGTACATTTAAATTTAAGTACATTTGATTTTCTGTGGAATAATACGAATAATATACAATAGTTCTAATTGGTTCCATTTTATTTAGATCTATTTTCTTAATATATATTCCTAACAACACCTTATAACACTATATGCAGAGTGCACTAATATCTTTGTACATATATCTCTTTTTTATTTTAGTATTTTATTTTAAGAAGCTAAAAATATGATAGTAATAGATTCGTAAATCACGTCATGCGTGTACGCGATCAAATTGCACGTATACTACATATCATTCGCGTATCGCAGCGGCGCGCTTATGTCACGTATTCTCTTCGCATGTGAAACCATCGTTGATACAATTGTATCTTCGAACGATCCATTCAAATGTCGAGATCTCGCGATTATGCGATGTATATTATAATCAATGGATTGACGCATGGATTTTAAGGATTTAATTGTGATCATAATCGTATTTTATCTGCGACCAGCATAACAGGGCTAGAAGGTTGCTCATTCTACGACTAAATTGGCTGACATTGACGCGATAATTTTCAAGCATTTGCATTAAAATTTTATCAATTTATTTGACAGAAGAATGAAGTTTATAAATTTTTGCTTGCTTATATCTAGAAAATGTTCTCTTTAAGAATTTTTTATAGATATAACTTTTGTTTTAGTTTCATTGTAATTTGTTTTTTTTCTGAATAATTAATCTCAAAATTAATTTCGTGTTTAAAACATAATAATGATCAGTAAAAATTGCTTACTCATTATATCATCTTAATCTTATTATTATTACAAAAATGTGATTACCGACTATTACAATAATCGACTGGCTTGTTGCCCACCGTTTATTAAGGCAAATTGATATTTAAACGTCGCATTGAATTTTGATAGAGCTCCTATCTTTCATCAGTGCTACATTATTATGTCCGCTCATCCGTCACAGACGGATTCATCTTGAACGCGATTCATCTTGAACATCGCGCCGGTTCTCTACGCAAAGTCGCGTGCAGCCTCGCATTGTGAAACAAAGTATCAACGTCGACAGATAAATGGAGGTGGACCTACATTCGCATATGTCGTCGAGAATTACGTCGCGGCCTAGAACGTCCCAATAAATTGTCTCAGGAATTCGTCAGGGTCGATTCTCTTTCCACTAGTTTATTTGACGATATGTGACATGTTATTTTGGTAGTGACGTCAGTTATGTCATTACAAAAAAAGCACATTTGACTCATCATTTGCATTATAAAATTAAAAGATGTCTATATTTTTTGTCGTTTTCTCGTAGTTGAAAAAAGAATAATTGGTATATTTTAAAATGTTGAAATATTTTATATAATAATTTTATGGTAGGTACAACTAGAACAGAAAAAAAAGTTTCAGAATACACGTTGTAAATTGATCTTTATTACAAGAAATTACATGACTAATTTGTACATATAAAATATAAATATGATACAAATACTATGATACAGAGATGCGTGTTTTCCAATGGAAAGTGGAAGTAGATCGCTAGTTACAATTAATAATTACTATCACTATAATTCGTCATTATTACTGTTGTATTCACGGCAGACGGACTGACACGCTCTTGGCAATGCTTTTAACTCAGTTTGAATTCAGACACGCGACGATAGGCAAATAAATATCACATGCACGAATTTTATATAATAGTTTGCGCAATAAACTATAAAGGTATGGGAACGATTTATTTTCTGAATAATTCTCATTGAGAAGATGCGAATGAAACGCTACATCTCTAATTATATATAATTATCGTAGCCGATCAGTTCAAGTAAATAATTAGCATAGCAAATTGTCAATTCTAATCTTTTCGCAATAAGCAATCCGTTCAACAATATTTCCGACATTCATTCTCAACAGAAGGAACCGAGAAATAAAGTAAACCGAGATAATAGTCTCGGCGGCAATTCACGTCTTTGGTCGTCAATGAGTGAGACACGAAGAAATGGGCGTACAGAATCTTTTTAATTAGCGCGGGACGACACGAAGGAGTCACTTAATTTCGTTATTTTCTATCTGTGGAATACAAATCTATCAATCCATATTTTAACGTCATTCCATCTGTCTGTGAGAAAAATAAAATAAAATAGTTCGTGCCTTTGATCCACATTTATATTTGTATTCAACACTAAATATGGCTAATAAATTTACAATCCGTAACAATACATGGATTGCAATTTTCATTCTTAAAATTATATTAGAGAAATTTAATTAATAAAAATCCACTATTAGATATCTGCATTAATGTTAAATACAAAATATAAATACGGACCTACGTGTATGTACGACAATCAGTCGCGAGTTAGTGTGTATATCGGTTTGCATTTTGTGTGTGTGTGTGTGTGTGTGTGTGTGTGTGTGCGTGTGTGTGTGTGTGTGTGTGTGTGCGTGCGTGTGCGCGCGCGCGCGCGCGCGCTTATTATTCATATACATATACGTAGTGTATCATGCATAAACGTGTATCATGCATAAACGAACCTCAAGATATAACAGTTCAGAACGAGAAAAACGGGTGACTTTCCATCGATATTGGCTGTCGTTTCACCACAACTCGCATCAGAAAACTAGAATACCTCTATTTGTGCCTCTCACATTACTCTCATACTGATTTATTTTTATCCCATCTATTTTCATTCTCTCCGACCTCGTCCCCGCCCGTACTTATATTCTATCCGCGCATCTTCTCTTCGCGTAACATTCTCATGTTGGAAATTTCAAGTGCTCGTTCTGCTTCTTACTCTCTCTTTTCTTTGCCAAGTTTCAATAGCACTCGCATGAATCGAACGTCTCTTACAATTAGTAAAAATTTACGATTATACTTATTCTCATTTCTCTTTCTCCCTTATCTTTCGCGCGCGCGTTCTTTCTTCCTTTCTCTCACTCATTCGATCTCTTTCTCTTTCTTTCTTTCGCTTCTCTCTCCCTCTCATATGTTCTCTTTCGCATCTTTCTAAGTGAGTTACGGAACTCTACAAAGTGCGGTAACTGCGATAACGATTAAAGCTACGATAATACCATGAATTAACGTGCGTGCATTAGATACATTACGTACGACGTGTTTCGTTTATCGGCTTGTCCGTTAATCGTATAAAAGGTCTTTTTTGCACTTTTTTGGCAGTGCGTTAGTCTCATTTAGCTTTTTTTCAAAACCGAAGCTCGATTTTTCCATGAACAAATTTGCATTTACTTCTAATACTTTAACATCATTACGAGTCATGTTCATTCACAATCCAGATTAACTAACGCCATTCAATAATTACTTCTCCTTCCCAAGATCATAGATTTAGCGATAACATAGACAGAGAAGGACAAAATTTAATCAGTCATGATTATTGCCCCGATCTCAATTCCGATTGCTTGTCGGCATTGTATAATTGAGATTGCTCAGTTAATCATATTTGACTCGTAATCGTTCATGATCTCGATTTTCGGCTTTCTCGATTTTCACTCAACTGTCTTTTAATTCGCGATCGATTGTCATAATTACGAATATCGACGCGTGTCATACCGTTTCTTTCAGATTGAGATGAATATTTTTAATCTATCGCGATGGCAGAAGTCTATGCGTATCTTTATCCGCTTGTTTTATTCGTCGCTGTTCCCGATAAATATGATTCGACCGATCGGTCAACAGTCTTTAAGTCGGAAATATCTCTTTTTTTTCTCTTTCATAATTTACTAATGGTATATAGATAGAAAATGGCATTAGTGTTCTAACTCTGACGAATAATAGACGTAAGAACAAAGCACCAACTTCTCACATTAAATCATTAATGCCGATATAAACGTGGCGCGAACATTGCACTCGAAACTGAGACTCACTTCGCTGTATTGTAACAACCGCGAAAATTATCTAACATCTTCGTTCTACATCCTGAGAAACATCGTTGAAACTGAAGCGACCGCGAAATCTCTAACACGAATACACTTTTCGTTATAACTTCATAATATAACTTCAATTAAGACACATGCGTGTGCGTGTACGTGTATGCGATATCTCAGTTTTTTTTTTATTTTAGCTTTCCTTTATTTCTCGTTTAATTCTTCTAGTTATCATTTTAGACTTAACAATAGTGACAACGTACAATGATGATGACGATACCACGATATATCATTAACAATTATTGGACGGAGTCGAGCGACATCGACGTCATTCTCTAATCTTATTCCATTCTATTCGGCGACCTCGCTCGTCTCGTTTCAACGATTAAATTCGTAGGTGGGTGGGCGGGATTGGTGATCAACACGCGGTCATACGTGCTGATCTGAGTCTACGTTAGGTGATCTTAATCTCGGTCGATGTCGATTGTTGAGGACAGGAATCGAAGCAAGTGACCAGAAGAACATGGCTCTTACAGGCCTCCACTCTCTTTTGCAAAATGCATGTCTCAGCCATTAGAGCCTCCAAAAATGATGGATCTCGCCAGTCCATACTATCCTCCACGTACACTATTTTTAAAACAAATAATGAAATATGTGTGATCATACATAAGAGAATTTTGTGTCAATAATTAAAGCAAAAATTGATTAATAAGATCAATGACACTTATGACTTTATTTGTATATTGTTACAGACTTTTAAAAGATATTATTTTAGTACATTAATGTAATGCAAAGAAATATGAAATATCTTCGAAAATTTTCATTTAAATTAAATTTCTTGTATTGTGAAGAAATTAATACTTACGATTGTAATCCCAGCGGGTGTCGGGTACCATGAGGCGCCTTTTAGCATCACGTAGCTCCAGTCTAAGAAGGCGCTGGCGCAGGCGCAGGCTGTGTATCCTGGACGTGGTTCCACGTGGATTCGAGCGCACCCGTGCGCGCCTGTCCAGGATGTCTACGTCCTCGCCTGTATATGCGAGAATCACCGATGCCGCGGGCGGCCCCGGTTGAGCTCGGCAGTGGGCCCGTAACCGCCGAGGCCCGCACCCTGCCGCCCGCTGTTCCACCGCTGAAACACCCGCACAACGTCGAAGTTAGAACCCCCAGCGCGCCACCTGAGGAGAATCATCGTACGGCAGGGTCGTTTTAGAGGACTTGCGTTAGAGGACTGCCTTTCTAGGGATGTAAAGGCTCCCGACAATATTTTTGTGTTTCAAGTACATGAGTAAAGTCAGATAAAAAAGAGCGAAGTTGTGCAGTCGAGCTATATTGGTATTAATAACGATCGATAGAGCAATATAGTTCTGTTTGTCTCCAAACAAAACGCGTGATTGAAACAGTCGACTGATCACAGTTGATTTTTGTATGTACAAAGAAATAGATTTTTTTTAGAAGTGTATTGTATTATATCTATGTTTTTTTCAGCATATACAATTTTGATAGATGTTCGTCAATTCAATTTTAGAAAAGTTATTTTTGAATATACACTAGCGTTATTAACAAGGTGAATGATTATTTTTGTAATCATGACATCAGTTATATATATTTTTTTTAAATATCGGAAAATCGAAGAATATTATTTGTTAATTACCTTGATGTTCCTGTAGCGCACCAGTTTGTCGGGACGAATCACTGGCAATGCTGCTAGTCTCGCTGTCTCTAACGACACTATCGTAACCAGAGCTCTCGGCACGATGTCTGGATAGCGTGGCTGGCGATAATTTGGCTGCTCGCGGTGTTGTATCCGCACCTGAATCGGAACCCTCCTTGTTTAGACCAAACGAGGAACCGAGATTAAGAATCTTGCGTTGCATTCGCCCGGAGGACGGCGCTGGAGACGATATTGGTAATTGTAAGGGCGTACCGCCTGAAACAGAAAACAGATGAAATAAATTGCAATTTAATATCTTCGCAGAAATGCAATATCGATCTGTATTTAATAATTCACGTTAATTTCTTAAACTAAAATTTATCAAAATGTACAATTTTATTATTTAAAAATACATAAAATTAAATTAATATGATTCAAATATGATATTTAAATATTTAAATTAAATTAATATAATTCAAATATAACTTTCAATTATCAACGTGAATCTTTATAGAAAGACATAAAGACATTTAATAAATATCATAAAGTATGGGAGAGGGAGTGTCGTACTTTGAATCTTCAGATCTTCCTCGATATCGGATTTTCCCGTGACTGTTCTCTCGGATCTCTCGGCAGCCGTAAACAACTTTTTTGCCTCAATGTATTCTTCCTCGGGATCTGAACCAGATGCTCCATTTCCGGGTATCCTTTCAATCTCTTCCTTTAAATTAGGATTTGAAGCGCCATCCGGATGCCTGAGACTAGAGATATTGCAATCGCCCAGCTTGCCGCAGTATCTTCTGGGACTGGCAAGATGAGCCACACTGCTGGGGTACCAGTAAGAAGCCGTGGCGGGCCTAGACATGCTTTGACGACAATTATCGCAGATCTTCTCCTGATCGGACTTGCCGGCTATGTACGCGGGTTCGCTGTATATGCTGCCGTGATTGCTTGCATTGTCGTTGAACAAGACATCCGAAAGGGATAAGGATTGACAGCGAGACGGCGGACGGAAGACGGTCGCTGCTGGAATTTGTCCTGCGTTAATGTTATACTGGATATAGACAGCAGACAGCTGGTTGTGTCTTAATTAGAATCTATTACGAATACGAAAATGATTTTTTGTTCTTAATCAAATGACAAATGATGATTTTAAATTTTTTATTTAAATTATCGTAATTTTATTGTACCCGTATTTCTATTTTGTCAATCATTAATAGAACAGGAGCATTGTAAAAGTACTATTGTTTGCGCCAAATTTGGAATTGCATTGAAACCTCGTGGAAATCGCTTTCAATATATCATCGACACACCGATGGAACATCGCTCGCGAGGGATTACAAAGCCCGTGTATGACGCGAGTAATCCTGATGAACGCGTAACAGACAACATCCGCCTCCGAGAGGATTCGACGTTGTGGACAATAATAAATATTTTTCCATCTTTCTTTTTATTTTTGTGCGACCGAGCATACAATCGTGGAAATCTGACAAAACTTACATGGAGCATCTCGCACGTTGACAGTGGAAGAGTTTTCTCTCTGATAAGTTACAGAGTTCGAAACATTGGCAAGCGCGAGTTTGCTTTGGTACAGCTCGTGGAGACGGGCCAACTGATCGAACTTGTGTCTGGTCTCTTGCTCAAGAAAGTCCTCGTGATCGAAGTACGGTCTCGGCAGAACACCCGCGCCGACCGGCGGTGGATAATGCGGTCTGTATCTCTCTGTGTCCGACATCACCGACATGGAGTCTGAAAATGATTTTTCTGTCTCATACCTCTTGCTCGTCTAAGTTCATATCTTGCTGCGCAAGAAGCGGAAAAATGACAACGGAAAGTAATACTGTCTGTGTTAGTTTGAAGAACGAACATAACGACGTGTAATTACATGGAAGTTTCTCTTTTTGAAATGAATTATTTTGTGCACATTATTATTTTTAACAAATTAAAGAATCAATTTCCCCGTGATATAAAAAATAGTTTATGCAGAGGTTCGTTTAAATACTCGCTACGAAATCGAGTGTGGAAGTTAACATAGCTATGTACAAAAAGTAAAAATTTATATAAATTATTGTATTGACTTCGTCAATATTATAATACAGTTATAATAAATCAAAATACTCGTTCTTTATTAAAAATATGTAACAAACGTTTATTAATAAATTATAATTAATATTGACACGTAAAGAATATTTAAAAAATTGATTATTTTAAAGAAAAGAATATACATGACAAAATTTTTATTTACCTGTGAAAGTTGACACCACGGTGAGATTCTCTTGGCTAAGAATCCTTAGAGGATGTTCTTCTTGATCGCTTTCGGGCAACGGATTCTCACCCATGCACAGCGCAATGTCTTCCTCGGTGACTTGTAAACACGAATCTTGCATAGGTACTGGTTCCAAGTCTTCTACCTCAACAATCTCCAAAATTTCGTCTTCAGAGGATAACGAATGTCTGGAGGGTAAAACAATGTCCTTGTGCGACAGATTTAGACTTTCCATGGATACTTCTCGACTTACTCCGTTACTAAGTGGTTCAATCAGTGGCAGTGGAGGAGGTACGACAATTTCTTCATCGTCATCTTCGTCGTCTGGCAAGTCAAGTTTTCCCTTTTCGATACTATCGTCCATCACTGGACTAGCCGTCAAATCCAATCCTGAATCTGTGTTAGATTTGACGTTAAGTAAATTCAGCTTGGCACTCAATTTTTCAGTTATATCCTCGATTTCATTCGCTTTCAAACTATCACTCTCCGCAGTGGACAATGACGTATCGTCGTCGTCCGCACCGCTACAAGTTTTGAACTGGGTCAGCTCTTTGAACTGACCAGGTGATTGACCGGAAGACATCTTTGAAGAAGACTCGAGTCGCGGTGTGGCGTGCTTCGCCCGCTGTATTTGCGATGACTGATTCTCCACCCACTTCCTAATCATGCTCTTCTTGTGACTATCCATAAAACCATAGCCGGAGGAGTGCTGATGCGTGTGCAGTTGCAGCGCTGGTGCACCGGTCAGTTGCATTGGTCCATCGATCCATGTTTCTCGCTTATGATGAGGATCTTTCAGCATGTGTCTCGCCTCTGCGACCTTTGACTTCGAGATCCTTGGTCCGTCTATCCATTGTTCGTCCGACCCACCACTTGGCGCTGCAACTGGTATCTTACTGCTGGGTGAATCATTGACCTTGGAAGCCGAGGCGCTCTTTGATGAAGAATTCTTCCTAGCTGGACTCGCCTTCGGCGTCGCACTGTGTGCCGGTGAGGTTTGCTTCGATGCGGTTTGCGTCAGTGTCTTCACCGTTTTCGAGGACTTGTGAGCCGGACTGCGTTCTTCCGGAATCTTGACCGGTCTTTCGGCGGCCGAACCACGAAGCACTCTACCCATTGCACAACGGTTGTCACCCGAGTTCAGGCTGGGTATGTAGACGGGCGGATGCTCGCCATCAGTGGCATCGTCGGCGCTTGGTCCAACGTAGATCACAGTATCGGCCGACAGATCACTCGAACTCGGATCACACTCGCTGTTCTGCCGAGCCGCCTCTTCGCCGGAACTGCCGCCACTTCCAGTACCTTGGGTGCTACTGCCGACAAACTTAATTTTCCGACGCCGCATCCGATGGATTCTCGATGCTAGTTGAACGGTAGTCAATGTCTCGGTGTAATGCTGCGCGTTGGGTGATACGTGAGCTATCATGGCCGCATGACAAGTCAAAGAGCCGAGACATTCCTTCAGTAGTTGGGTCAGCTTATGTTCCTTGTATGGTAAATGCTTCTGACCATTGAAGATTGCGAGCAAAATGTTGCCCAGACCGGAGAGAGGAATTCCGCCTGATGATTTTCCGCGATCCGAGTTTCCCAGATCCATCAAGTGCAACCGGCTTCTACCACCGGCAACTGCACAATCGAGAAACAGCGCTTGTTTCGGATATTATCCGTATAAAGCGAGAGAAACGGGAGAAAATAACTACACAAATATCATATATATTTCAACAACAATTCCGAAACAGGAAAAGAGAATGTATGTAATCAGCGTTTGAGATGTTACAAAGTAATCTCTTTTCCATGATATACGTTTCCGCCTTCGGATGGAAGAGCGGAACAGTGATGTAGGAAATTTCGAAATGGAATTATTTACCTCCACCCTTGCCGGCAACGCTGTACTGGTACACGTGCAGCGTGTAGAGCATATGTGCGTCGCCGTCCTCTCGTTGACGACCGGCGACTGCCGCGTCGAGGTAGAATGCCGCGCGTTCCGCCGTCGGCGCCCGGAGCTCGCTGTGTTGTTGCAATTGAAGGGTACCAAACAACGGATCGTCTCTGAGGTATACGGCCGGCGATTGTTCCGAGTCTGCAAGTAAAGAATGATATTACGCTGATATTACGTAATATTTGTCTCGTGTATTTTCGTGTAGAATAAGAAAAATGTGATGCATAGAATTTTATAAAAAAATTCCCTTGCATATTAATATTTCGCATCTATTATGGACATGTTATTTTCAATGTTATTTGCAATATTGTTGCATATCAGAAATTTTTCAAATTAATAACTGTAAAAATTTATTATCTTATTTTTTTTGTTTTTTGATATAAATCTGTTTTGTGTATGTATCTGCCGTGTACTTATTTATTATTTTTACAGAGAAGAAATAATTGCTAAAGCATATTAAAATTTGGCTAGATACAAATCTGTAAATAATTTTGATGGATTTTAAAGTAATTATGTAGGACACTTAAGTTAATTACTAAAATATAAAAAAATGTTAAAAATGTTAAAAATTTTTTCATATCCTCAAATATAAGTATCACTCGATGGATGCACTTATAGTACTTTATATAATTACATTTTGAGAGTCTAATAAAATTATTTTCAGATTTTTATCAATCAAATTTTTAGATCCAAAACCATTCTTTCTGTGTATTTTATCTTATATTAACGATACGAGGTGAGAGAAGCTATTTCAATCATAAGGAAATGATAAAAGCCAGGCTGTCTGCTCATTCAAGCAGATGCATTTTATGTCGTGCGTATTTCATTCCGAGTTCACGTAAGCTTTCAAATGCATTCTCCGTTTATTTGATTCTATTATTTCATGGAAAAATAATATCAATAAGATAGAGAGTGACACGGAGATCGAGATGTAGGTGTGTACTATTCGGAACAGTAAATCGATCGAAACGGAGCTCGAGACATCCGCGGAATGCCTTATCCTGAATTACGACGTCGATAAAACGTTGGAAGATATGTCGCGCAAACGATACCTATGTTTCGTTTTACCTATCCCGCTTTATCACGCATTTCATATACGCTGGGACGATCGATAGACGAACCTAGATGCGAATAATCAACATAATGCGAAACATAGCTGTAAACAGTGAAAGGGCAATTACGAGATTAGTGCATGAATCAATCGAATCAAGTATAGGAATCTTCGTATGACTTTGTCGTGCGAATAAAACAGGCTGATTGTGAAAGAATAGACGGAGAAAAACAGTTAAGAGAATAGTTACTCGGACAAAGAATTGTAAAGAGATCCTGAAGAAGACACTGCGAATCATTAATTATTCGGATTAGACAAGGCGATAAATGTTATAATTGCGTGTACGAGATATTGAATAAAAATAAGGAAATTGAGCTACATAAAATTTGACTCGCGAATTGTCTCTTGTGATACACATAAAAAGATCTAATTCTATTTATTTGAAACCATGTAAAACACTTTATTTCTCTTATCTTTCAATTCGTCAAGTTATATATAGAGAAACATTGTGCTATTGTAATTATATAGGTATCGAAACCAAGATAAATGCATATACGGTTAAAACCGATATTTACGGATACAAAAAATTGTTCATTGTACAGGAAAAATGTCTCAAACCATAAAATATGAAATAGAATGAAGGAAATATGAAGGAAATATGAAGGAAAAGAAAGAAGCAGTCACAAATATCTCGGCCGTATTGTACGCTTTCGCGTCGTTTTTCGCGCAGGAATATCTGAGACCGTATGCCCTACGCGCGAGGGTGGATTGGAAATGCAGATTAAGGATCTCCTCGCACCGTTGCACCGGAATCCGTAGCGATCTATAAGAATGCTCGTAAAAAGTTGCGATAGCGAATTCATGCGGATTTTCGATCAGGAAACGTTCGCACTCTATAAGTTGGAAGAGTCACAGATGAAAGCGAATGAAAATGCTATTACATTTTCACCAGGATTACCTCCTCTTGTTGAAACAACGTGGAAATTCCAGGCAGTTTTAATATTTAAATAATACAAGAATTTCAATAATACTCTAATATTTAAATATCAAAGTTTGAGCGAAGAACAGCTAGGAAAGTTTCTCTGGAAAATACTTAAAAGGAATGTAGATATTGTTAAGAGCACATTTGACAATACGCTCTTTTCACGTGCGCAAGACGCGAAGGATCCATAAAAGTGCCCGAATGGACACACGGCGAAAATTTAATTTGAGTAATGCTTCTCGAGTGCCTGGCTAGCTTTATACGGTACGCCACGCGTATTCGTCTGTCCGAAATTACCTTACTTCATCTCACCATTACTCTATTACTCGCGCGTGTATTTTTATATCCCTACGCACACGGTATGCACTACAGCTGATATGCTGGACGTCGTTTATATGGTGTTTAGATAACCCTACCCAAGTTCGTAAATTGCCAATTAGCCTTTTACTGCCGGGCGCGAACTCGTCTCCTCCTCCACCGGCACAACATCGTAAAAGACGCAAAGAACGACGTTAAAGGATAAGGTGCACGACGACATATGCCGTAGTTTATTTCCGCTAGACCGTCTGCGACTTTTCACATCTGTTCCTGCCGGAAATCTTTTACCGTTCTTTTATATCACGCTGAGGAAATAGCCATGAGCCTCGCGCAAGTCCAGACGAGCGATAGCTCTACACGAGCTTCCGTCGAGTCACCGACCGATTGATTTCGATTATATCCGATATTAGACGAAAGATACTACGGCGAGCTAGTTGCTTCGTCGAGCAGTTGAGCGTGCTATGAGGGAACAAGAAGGTACGCGCGAAAGCAGGAAGCGGGAGTATCCTCTAGACTTACCAGAGCCCCCTTGATTTCCGTAATTTGCGAAGTCCCGAGGAACCAACTTAATCGTAGTAGATGTTCGATAATGAAATTCGACGAGGCGTATCCGACGAAAGCGAGAGCAAGGGGGGGAAGGAGAGGAGCGACATTGGAATATCCGCATTGGAGTAGGATCGACGATAGTGCATGCTTGTTGTAGAAATTTAGATAATTCCACGGATCCCGTATATCAAAAGCCCTTAATAATAGAAACGCGAAAGTAAGTGATAGCGAATTCTGCACGGGACTTCATAAGAATCCGGATTAAGGAAGGTATTAATATTTATGAGGTGCGCGAAGTAACCTGAATAAGTCCGCGGTTTTACCGGCTTGTGCTGCTGACATTAAATCGTTGTGGTAAAATAAGAAGAAAAGTTGATAATTGTTAAAGAGAATAGTGAATACACTATTTTATTGCGTTTAGCAGTTCGAAATGAATTTTTGATCAATATGTCAATAAATGTATGGCTCTAAAATTACCTTGAAAGTATTTTTTTAACTCTTGATCTATAATTTATAAAACTACGCAACAGACATCTCTTGACCTTTTTCAGAGAAAAAAATAGAACGGTAATGAAATCTATTTTTTCTTGTCATTTAAATAATTTTAGATGAAGATAATAGTTACATATATGAGTATATCGAAGATAAATCTCCAACATAGAGTTTTAGCATCGGTATTAGCTTTTATCTTATATAAGTTTCTCGATTTCTCGATCGACGTTCGATGTAAATGATTCTGAAACGAAGCTTAAACTTCGCAACTGGAATATGATATCCCGAAATTCACGACAGGCTACACTTCGAGGTAATAATAAGGCCCGGTCTAGCCGGCGTTATACGGATATATGCGGCGCGTATATACACCGCTCGCGTATAATAATTCACACAGACACGGAGTATGGAAGTACGGTGCAGAAGCGGCATAGCAATATCCATAAAAGGAACCGGAGGATGTAATATTACCGGCATCTGTGCCCTGTGGTGCAGAAGTACCGCGAAGAAGGAAGCGACGAACGACAACAACGACGACGAGTCCGCGACAACTACGACGTGAAGCTCGCAGTGGGGAAAGTGGAGAACGAAATGTGGCAAAGAAAAGTGATCTGCGAGCAGCACCTTCATCTTGGCATAGAGACGCGTAATGGATGCGGTTTCAGCTTAGAGCACAATTGTTACGCTCGCTCGTGGCGTCGCGGGGGTTCGAGAAAAGAAAGACCTCCACCCTCTCTCTGTTTCTCTCTCTCTCTCTCTCTCTCTCTCTCTCTCTCTCTCTCTCTCTCTCTCTCTCTCTCTCTCTCTCTCTCTCTCTCTCTTTCTCTTCCTCTGAATAAACGTTTTTCGACGCGTTTCGAATACAGTTTCCGAGCTCAGATCCCTTCGATCGTAACGGTCCTCGTCGTCGCTGGGGCAGAAGGGCAGTAAAGGAAATCTGTTTCGCCTTTCCGGACGGCCGGCTGCGTCCCGGTACGCGACTTGTTTCCCGAGCTCCGCAATATTTCCACGAGAAGTTTCTCGCCCCGAGCACGGGTGATGTATCGTTATGAATCAGAACCCTTCGGGACAGTTTCATTCGCTTGCATCATTATTAAAGACGGTCGATATTGCGTTGGAATTCAGAGGTTATTGGACAGCGCTAATTCTTTTACTATACCATAGTACCATAGTTATATACCATAGTTGAAGCTAACAATAGCGACTTACATTGAAATGTATATAACATAACCTTATGATTAGATTGTTAATATTATAAGAAATTAAAAAAAAATTAAAGTAGATAATTTTTCTAAGACACTGAAGTTAATGCCCGTTTTCTTAATTTTATTAGCTATCACTCTTTGGAACACAATAAATCGAAGGGACATTACATAAAGTTTAAATTGGAAATAGAATTATATACATATATCTCTTTCTGGAACAAAGTAATTTTGTCCTTTATGGTTTAATAATGTCTTATGGGTTTCAGACGGTTTAATATTCTGAAACACTTTCATTTCATGGACTCTCCAGAGAGGTAGTGACATTACGGTCATTGACACGAACTTCCTAAGATCTTCCCTTCAATGATATGGAATATAGAATTTATATTATATAACGTGACTTCTGTTAAATTAATTCTTATAATGCTTCTAATGTAATTAATTATATTGTTTACGAATAGTTTAACAACAAACGCAACACTTGTTATACGAATAATACAAAGTGCATTGATAATTGATCAGGCAAAAATACACAATATCATCTAAT